ATTGTCTTGCAACACGAACGCCGATCGTTTTTGTCAATTATTGTTTTGAAAGATTTACTTGATTGTGTTTGAAACAAAAAATCTTGGAAATACTTTCCTGTAGGAAAAGACCTATTACTATAAAGGGTTGTTCACCACATGCGACACGGTGTATTGTAGCTAAACGATTAGATTTTTACAAATTTTAAGTTTTGGGTTCGTTGAAGGACTATTAGAGCTACAATTTGAAAATATTTTTACAACATACAGAGTGTCCCAAATAAATAAAAAATATCAAAGTTGTATTTTTTTAAATGGATCACCTTGCACATTATTACATTTTTAGTTTCTACGATTAAAATAAAGGTAAATTTGGTTAAGGTTTACCGCATTTTAATCTTGCCGTTTTTGAAATTTTTACGTTTTTGTGAAAAAGCCCATTTGTTTACAAAAATAAAACTATTTAAATCTTTGTAAAAGAGTATACCAATTAAATAACACCATTATTTCCACCTAAAAATTAATTAACTACATACTTAATTGTTTTAGTTAATAAATTATTCTAAAAATAATAGTAGATTTCAATCAGAAATCAATGTTATAATAAGTTATGAAAATGAACATCTCTTTTGTTATAAATAAGCATTCGTCAAAAAATGAAATAAAATTTATAAGGGGTTACTTTTTATCACGCTGTCTAATACACATACAAAATTCAGTTTTTTAGTATTTGGAGCAATTATTTTTAATCAACGCAAACAGTCAATTAGTTTGAATACTTGGATCATATTAATTGGTCCCCTTTAACAAATATTTAAACAGTTCTTTTATTTTTTAATAAAATTAGCGAATTATATATCGACAATATTAGTATCTATACTCTTTGAAAATTTGTTACATCTTTAAAAATAATCTAAAATGTCAATATTCCATGGGTAATTGGCATTGATAAATGAGGTCTAAATTATAAGAAAATGCATTTTCTACGAAAACTTGAAGAGATAGATAAAAAATGGTTACAATTTGATAGACAATTAAATTGTGCATTTGATTTTTGTAAAATATACAGGGCGTTCCATTAAAAAATACAACTTTGATATATATTGTTTATTATTTGGGACACTCTGTATATTTTAAAAATATTTTTAGATTGTAGCTCTAATAATCCTTCAACGAACCTAAAATTTACAATTTGTAAAAATTTAATCGTTTAGCTGCATACTCCGTGTCGTATGTCGCGAACAACCCTGTATACTATATATTCTATAGAAAAGAGGTATATTTCATCGGTCAGGGAGTTCAAAGTAATCAAAGGAGAATAATTATTTATTTTATGCCATCAACATCCGCAATAAAAGTGATTTTACCTAAAAATAATAAACAATTTTTTTTTAAATACTTAATAATGTAAAAATTGATCTCTAAAAATCGGAACTCGTTTCGAAGGTATAACAATGATGAGATATAAATTATAAGCTGGCGTTGCTGCGGAGTTTTTGCGTTATAAAATTGATTATAGGTAATACGGGCGATGATTTTTAAAGTCAATTATAAGCTCGTTAGGATGCGATTGCCGAGTTTACGAGAATTTAATTGTGGTCTCGGGCATTCCGATACATCAACAATAAAAAAAATCGACACATGAGGTAAAAAGTTATGCCGCACAAAAGTTATAAAATATTTCTTAGCTTTAAGGACATAAATTGTCACTTTTACAGGTATATCTCAATAGGTAATTCGCTTGTTATTAAGGTTCACTGATGTCTTTGTCTTGAAATTAGTTATTTTTGTATTTAACAATATACCTAACTAAATTTGATTTTTTTTAAATATGTTTACAGGGTGCTACAAATTCGGGGTACGAGCATGGGTATATCGGTAACTGTAATAGATATGAATATGGTCAACAATATTGATCAGCGCTATTCTATTCTTTTAATAAATAAAGTGATATAAAATGTACCATTTTTCGTTTTTATTTTACATATCGGAATATAGGGACAGAACTCAGAAGTGACACAATTTTTATTTTTTGGCGACTTTAAGAATTTGGTAGAAATGTAGCAGCAGGGGGTCCACCGAAACCAGTAAAATTTTGAAAGTGGTCCACGAGAAAAATAAGTTTGGGAACTACTGCTCTACATGTTCGAAAGGGTTACCACCCTCCCTATTGCACAAATTTATTTTTCGTTCAATTTTATTTAAAGCTCTTTGAACTTTCTTCTTATACTTCCGAATGCATTTTGTATCTACTATTTCACTTTTATAAATGACGCCAAGTAATGAGAAAAACAAATCTTACCTTTTTTTGGTATAAGACTCTTAAGCAGCATGATAGCGTTTTCATCACAGGCCCACGCATGCATTTTTCTATAACTGTCCCGTCCTTTTTCAGTCAATTTGTCCCACGGTTTGGGTTTGGACAGTAGTTCGGATACAGTACCTTGGGACAACCCGAGGATGTATTTGGCAAACAGTCTTTGGCCTATGTTATGAATTGAAAGTAGCTCGCGAACACGTCGGGCTATGTTCAGAGTGTCTGCAATCAAAATAAAAGAGTTATATATATTCATAAATAAAACAATGGTTACTGACCTAAATTTTGAGAAGCATATTTGTCCATGTTATATCTCAGCATCTCTTGCAGCCTAGCCTCCATAGGATCCCCTTTGGGAATCAAACTTTCCCCCAACCGTCCTACCATAGATCCAGGTGCCATCCCCAAATCTTCTGCAAACTTAAACGGTGATCGATGCTCATCAAACCTATACGGACTCTTGAGCGTATCCTCCGATCGCAGGAAGTTATTCACAAAAGTCGTCGCGACCAAGGGAATGTTGTTATTGCTAACATGGTGATTGTTGTTGTCCTCGTGAGGACTTTTCGGGTTCCCGTTAACAACTACCAAATTTTCGTGAGGACTCTGGTACCCTGTACTGTCCATCGGTTGAGGTGTTGAAGTCGTACTGCTTTTCTCCGTTGCATTGTTGGTCTCCGACAAGGACGTACTGCCTTTGATCACCAAGGAACCATCTGTAGAAGATAAAGACGATTTTATTTTGATGGTAGGTTTCGATGTTTTTCGCCAGGAGGAGACGATTTCCTCGCCTAGGAGGCTTCGAAGTTGCGATCTACGTTTTGGAAGGGGTGGAAGGTTCGAAGGAGGTGTAGAGGGGGAGTATAGGGGTTGGAGTTGAGCTGGATGATCCGCCACCCCTGGAAGAAGGATAATGAAAGTTAGTAGAAGGAATGGTTATGTTGTGGTTCAAAAAAAGATACAGATACAGATACAAATAGTGATGAGCAAATGCAAGACCGGACTGAGACTCGCTCTTCGTCTTGCAGTCTAATAGTAGTCTTGGTCTTGGATTTTTACTAAAGGCACTTTCTACATAGAAAAATTTGAAATAAATAGTATTTTGAGTAATTTAAAGCAAATTAAACTTTTTGAAGAAAAAAGCAATATTTCTCCGATGAAAATTTTTATTTTTTAATATACAGGGTTGTCTGAATGTTAATATGGAATCTTCGGAAATATATTGAACTTACGGCAGTATTTGGTTGAAAATTGGTGTCTGGGAGTTTTTTGACACGAGAAATTTGATTTCGATGTCAATATGACTCCTACTTGTCGGAGCCGCTACCTACATATTTTCAAGTGGTTTGAAGAGTAATAACGTTTCGTCTGTACCTGTATAAAACTACCGTGTAAAAAATATACATTTCCGCAGTTTTTTTACATAAAAAAGTTTCTTGGTGAATATTGCTACCGAGTAATTGTTCTTGAGATATTTGGAATCGAAATAATTAATATGTCATCATTAACAAAACTTGAACGTGTTGACTGGATAGTTATTAATATGAAATAATGATAGAATGATAGTTATAAATTTGAAATGTTTTTGTGCCATTGATTCAACAGTAACTGTTTTATCTATTTTTTTTTCTAGAAAAATTAATGATTAGCTTAAAAAAATAAAAAGTTCCCAAAGTCAACATCATGTTTATTTTTTATCAATAATGACATGCATTTTACGGACAAAAATTACGGAAATGTATATCAGTAGTTTTATACAGGTATAGATGAAAAATTATAACTCTTCAAACCAGTTAAAAATCATGTAGGTGGCGCAAGTAGGAGTGATATTTACATCGAAATATTTACGTTAGTTCAGAAATTATTTGGAAAAAATCGAAATCGAAAAAAATGTATCTCTAAAACATCTTTTTTACATATTTTTATCTTCCGAAGGTTCCCGAATACTATTGGGACCACCCTGTATATAACAAATCGACACAAAGATTAATTAAGCAATAAAAAAATAAGTAAGACATTCAGTTATACGTTAATATACCGAGCATTCGTTAAAATGGGAGCAAATTTCCAATTCCAACATAGAAACTGTTTCCCACGGATGACGAAATTATTGTCCGAAGAACAATTGTTCTAGTCGTTGGTTCATGTAAGCAAAAGAAAATATAAGCAGCATGTCTCACAAAATTACAGTAATAGAAATAATAAAACGCTTATTGCCCAACCCAGCGCGTCACGTTCTCCATTGAAAAAATTTGTAAATCAGAACAAAAACTAAATGTGGAGGTCATCCTGTTTGACCTGAACTGGTTTCTATTGATTTTTGTTTTGTGCGTGACCTGTGCGCCTTGAGCTATGTTTTTTTAAATGGTTCCAAGAAAAGAAAAGTATTAACATATATTCTTCCTCAATAATTGAGGAAGAATTGTCTTCTAGAAAGAAAAACTTTATTATTATTGACATATTGAGAAAATGCATTCTTCATAAAAAGGTGTTCCTTGTTCTAAAATGGTTAATCCCGTTTGTACTTTCCCAAATTTCCATACCGTTTTAGAGAAACATATAGCTATACTGTGCGAACAAACACTAGAGGCGCTGCTAGTCATTAAAAAGTTAACAAATATTCATTTGTTTGTTTTTTAAATATGTCAATATTTTAATTTCGCGTGTGATTTTGGCAATTTTTTCATTAATTACTCGTGTATTAATTGTACTTATTTTACTAATTACATTTTATTTTAATTATTCATATTTAATAATTGCAATGGCTCGGGTATTGATATAAACATTTTTTTTTATTGTAACAAAATAGGTATATTAAAATTAAATTAGATGTTATACAGGGTGGTCCGAACTGTATTCCGGAAACTTCGGCAGCATATTCTGCAGATAAAAATAAGTAAAAAAGTTCGTATAAATGTATGTCCTAAAATGCTTAGTTTCGGAGATACAGGGTGTAGAAGTGTCATTTTTATTTCGATTTTTTCCAAATAATTTATGAAGTAACGTCAAACATTTGGCTGAAAATTGGTGTCTGGGGAGTCTTTTGACATGAGAAATTTGGATTTTGATGTCAATATGACTCCTACTAGTAGAGGGCGCCACCTACATATTTTTTAACTAGTTTGAAGAGTAATAACTTTTCTTCCGTACCTGTATAAAACTACTGATTTAAAAAAATACATTTACGACGTATTTTACGTGAAAAAGGTCTCTTGGTAAAAATCGCTACTAGTGATGGTTTTCAAGATATTTGATATAGAAATTAAAAAAAAAATATTATTTTTTACTTATTTTTATCTGCAGAATATGCTGCCGAAGTTTCCGGAATACAGTTCGGACCATCCTGTATAATGTAATTTTAATATACCTATTTCGTTATAATTAAAATAATATTTCTGTAATATTCCAAAAAAAAAATAAATTAAATATAGGGAGCGATATTTCATGAATTTAGTGCGCGAAGAAACTCAAGGGAGCGCTCCTTTTACTTTCATTTCATGACATACACCCTGTATATGTTTTTGATTGCGAGTAATTTATTTCTAGAACATTCTATTAAGCCGTTATTCCAGTTATTTCATTCTAGCGAGTGGTTAATTAAATTCCCAAAAACTAGAATAAGCCTAAGCCCACTAACGCGTATTCGTTATTCATGAGGCTAAAACAATTACATTGTTTATTTATTTGGTTCTAATTAGAGAAATATATATAAGCTCTCTATAAATTAAGAGCAGTGAGCCGTAAAGAACGGAAACTATTAGTCAAAATCATGTGAAGAGATTGGAAGTTAGATAACGTATAGGTTGAAAAAAATTAAAATTACAAATTTAGTGTATTAGCAGGTATTTTTGATATTTCCGGAGCCATAGATGCGTGACTGGCTGTTGCGAGTGAGAGGTCAAAAAACGTTTCGTCCTTAATAAACCCTCATCATCATATACTAAAACGTTTTTATATATATTTAGCTATTTATCGACCTATTCAATAATATACAGGATGTAGAAGTTTAATTTTTATTTCGATTTTGTCCAAATAATTTATGAAGTAACGTCATTATTTGGATGAAAATTGGCGTCTAGAAGTATACTGACATGATAAATTTGATTTTGATGTCAATATGACTCCTACTTGTAGAGGGCGCCACCCACATATTTTTTAACTGGTTTGAAGAGTAATAACTTTTTGTCCGTACCTGTATAAAACTATGCATTAAAAAAATATACATTTACGACGTTTTTTACGTAAAAAAGGTCTCTTGGTAAAAATCGCTACGAGTAATGGTTCTCGAGATATTTGGAATCGAAATTATCAAGACCTGTCATTATTGACATAAGTTTAAAATGTTGACTAAATAGTTATTAGACTCAGACTGAAATCATTAATATGAAATGTTTTCGTGCCAAAAATTAAACAGAAACTGTTTTATCTTCATTTTTTTGCAGATAAATTTATGATTAATTTGAAAAAATAAAAAGTTCACAAATTTATTATTTCAGTCAAATAACTAACTACTCAGCATTTTAGGATATACATTTATACAAACTTTTTTACTTATTTTTATCTGATACGAATATAACTTCTCATACAGGATGTTTCAGAAAACATGTACAATTTCTCGTGGGGAGATTCCTCACGTAAACTAAGATTTATTTTTCATACCAACATATTTAGGTCCGATTTTGCTTTGTTTTGTAGCTACAAGGGGTTATTATTTATCTTATTTTTTTTTTCGATTTATCATAATTTTCTTTTAAGTGCTTTTAGTGATTCGAATGAAATTTTGACGGTTAAAGGTACTATAAGTGCTACATATTTTAATGATAAAATAGTATCGATAGATTTATCAGGGACGTGCATATGGTTTATCACTGGAATATTAAAAAAAAAACATGTACGCCACTGACTTTTCTTCTGATAGCAAAATTTTTTAGACCGTTTTACGTTTAATGCTAATTAAAAGTTGTATCTTGCTAATTTGTCGATTTCGATCTCCTTCATAAGATAAACGCAATTTTATTACCTAATCACAATTAATACAATTAAATTAAAAATAAAATTAACAAATTATTTATTTTATCTAATTTATTATTAAATATTACTACTATTAGTCCAACCTACAGCAAATTCAAATAAAAAATAATGGAATTTAAGATAATTACAAAAGACCTCATTTTAAAATGTTTAAACATCCTGTAATTTTCAAACTATGCATTTCCATAACCATGATTATAGGAACTTCTTTTCATATTTTTTGATGAGAAATCAGTGAGTACTTTTTAAAACTTTCGCAAGTTAAAGATATTATTTTTTTTAAAGATTGCTATTACACTTGGATCAAAGCAAATTAATAAAATTGCGTTTATCTTGTCCAGGAGCCCGAAATCGACAAAATATCAAGATACAACTTTTAATTGGCATTAAACGGCCTATGAAATTCTATCTCTATTCTGATTCTGATTCAGCATTCACTCAGCAAAGTAGAAAATCATTTTATTATAACTTATGCTTAGCTGAGAATGTTCATTCTATATTTTTAATAAATGTTTACTCTAGGGCTTTATGTTTTAATCATATAACGATTTACTTTAACTATAGCTGTAATTTTTGTGACTGCTTACCCATTTACTACGAGCTCATAAATCAGAATAAGGAATAAGGAAGGATAGTTAAAAAATAAAACAATCATTATTAATCGTACCTTCACTATCTCCTGCCTGATTCTTCTCCTTCAACTCCTGCCCTTGTAATTTGGTGTTTTCCAGAAACAATTCGATACTTTTGCAGTCTGGATTGTTAGCCAGATCCGACTTTAATATCGTCATCTGTCTCTTAAGGTCATCGTAGTCCTTCTGTGAGTCTAGCCTGTTTTCTAGTCGTGCAATTTGTTGTCGTTTCTGATCGAGCTGTTCTTCTAGTCTCGTTATTTGTGATATAGACGATTCTTGGATTTTGTTAATGCAGCCTTGCAATCTTTGGACTTCTTCTAGTAATTGGTTAATCTGAAACAACGAATTAGAATACTGTAATTAAAATGTAATGAACTTTGAGCATATTTTTATAAAAAAATTATGACAGTAACTTATACACTAAAAAAAATATAGTAATTTTACAAAAAAAATATTATAATTATTTGCTCTCTATCTTGATTTTAGCAATTTTTTAATGTAAACATAATTGTACTATGATCTCTCTGACACCAACATATCTCTAAGTATTATTTATTTTTTCGGACTGTGTTTCGGGGGACAAATTTAATAGAGCTGCGACGTAGAGGACTCTATTCACCCATAGTCTCTAAGTTGGTAAGTTAACAGTGTTGATTAGATACCTTTTTATTGCATGCGTTTAAATAAATGCCTTTATTGTCAAAAAATTTTACAATTTGCAGACAAAGGTAAAGTAAACAAATAAAAGAGAATACAAAACAAGTACACAAATTACATTGTCAGTCTTATTGTTTAAAATAAACATTTATAAATGTTTACCATGTCAAAGAATAAAAAAAAATAAGATTCAAAACTATTTAGTAAGTTTATAGTAAATACAGTAATAGCAAGTATTAGACCAATGTTTACAAGATCAAATTCGATTATCAAAATATAAGTCATTTACGGCATAGAAAGCCTTGTCTAGTAAATAAGATTTCAATGCTTTGCGAAATGAAGAAAATGATGTTATGGATTTGATTTCAAATGGCAGGTGATTGTGCATTTTTTTTCGAGTTGTATAATATTGAACTTTTAACTAACTCTGTGCGTGGGGTAGGTAGATAAATATCTTGCTTCCTGAGTGGATAAGTGTGAGATGGCCTTTCTTGAGAAGCTGATACATGCTTCCGTATTAGGCAAACGGATTCAAATATAAATAAGGAAGGAAGAGTTATATTTTTAATTTTTTAAAAAAGTCCTGGCAATCAGTTCGGCTGTTTAGTCCCAGTGAATATCGAAGATCTTCTTCTATGTGGAGCTTGAAAATGCGGTCAAATTGAGTCGCACAACACTTACCCCAGAATGGAAGGGCATATCTGAGGTGCGACTCAAAAAGTGCATAATAAACAGTTCTAGCCATTGACAAGTTAAGCTCCTTAGAAACAGATCTTAATGCAAAACAGGCAGAGCTTAATTTTTTCGACAAAGCGTCGATATGCATGTCCCATTTCAGATAATTGTCTACAACAAGCCCTAAGAATTTTACAGATTTTACGACGTCAAAGGTGGTGTTGTTAAGTACAAAAGCCTGCAGCGAGTGTTTGTACGACAAAGCTTTAGTTTTTTTGTGAATTTACAAAAGTAATTGTAAGAGACTATTCAAAAGTAGTTTTGTAAATTCACTAATAATAAAATGCTTTTATTTCTTATAAATATATATATATATATATATATATATATATATATATATATATATATATATATATATATATATATATATATATATATAGTAATAGTACAAGAATGTTGTGAAGTATCTTCGTATTTTATTATATTGTTTTCCATCTGTCTTATTTTTTCTGATCTAAGAAGGAAACCCATTATTGCGAAATAAACTAAATAACATAAGTCACAGAGGCTACTAATGGATATTAGGGGGTAACTAAAGCCCCCAATCCATTAAAACGGGAAAAAAACGCACGGGATCAACGTTTGGGAATGAAATATTCGAAACAATAATTCAAAATCAAACCGCGAGCAAGGGGGTTCGTTTTTTGCGTCTTACAGCCGGGCCAATCAAATCGATGCCTTTAGTTCTGCTTTCGCCAGGATCATCATTTAAACCTAATGGCAGCAGTATTAAAATTGCTTATTCAAAAATCGTCTCCCTGTTCAATATACACTCACCGGCAACGAAAAACGGGCACCTTAAAATTTTGATGTATTATAAAGATTAATATATTTTGTTCTAGCCTAGTGAGCCGATTTTGATGATTTTTTAAACATTATGTAGCTAAATTATTTGACTTTTAGTATCGCTTTCTAAATTAAAAATGAAATAATTGAAATCACTAATTTATTCCACTAATCGCGAGGTTCTGAATGAAGCTTAGTTCTAGAAAATTAAAAGGCGTTTCTATGGTAATATAGTTTCGATTTCATTCTTTGATAGATGGTTATTATTAATTTTAATTAAATTCATATTTTTTGTTGTTAAAGTATCACATTTTTCGAAAATTATTATCGCCCTTTCCCTAGCATTGAACGAAATAAATTTTGTGTTTCTTAAAGATTTTAAAACAGCAAAAATTATGACGTTAATTAAAATTCTATCAATAACAGTCTATCAAAGAATGAAAACGAAATTATAATGCCATAGAAACGCGTTTTGATTATTAAGACTTTCTAAAAAATTCAACCATATTTTCATGTTTTCTTTTATTTTCTCTAAAACGCTATGGAAATTTGGGAAAGTATAAACGGGATTAACCATTTTAAAACAAGCAAACATTTTTATGAAGAATGCATTTTTCTCAAAATATCAATAGAGACAATCCGGGGACATACTATATGTAAAATTATATGGGGAATGTCATCGGTCACGTCATTTCCAAGCCAACTGGACGCCTTTTTTCTATCATATCGAACTACAGAATTTCTGCAAGCATATACCCATTTTTCTCCATCAAAACAATAGGCAAAACCGCATTTATAATTCCATCGCCCTATACGTTGATACAACCACCCAATATCCCCCAATTAAATCAATGCCCACCTCTTTCCATTCCTCCCCCCCAGTCTTCCGATATAGGGTTAAAGGGGGGAAGTTTACTAATGTCTTTATTTTCAGTATCGGTAATTGGATCGATTTCTTCCAGGTTTCAGTACACTGTCTCGATGGTGGTGGTTCGCGATGAAATGGGGGTTGCGTGGTCGAAGAGGGGGGTCGGAGGAAGGAAGGGAAGCTGAAGCGAATTAAAGGAAATTTGATTGTTCTAGGGGGGGATATCTCGGCGAATTTACAGATATTGATTGGAGTTTGGCGTGATGAAGCTCACAAAATTAATATTTGAAATTCGCTTTGTATCTATAGCAGATATGGCTGGATATTTTCGATATAAATTATCATCGGTGGGATCTCTTTTGTTCGCGAACGGGAATTAAGGGAAATAAGTGGGGACGATTCGTGTGCTAATGACGTATTGTAGAATATTTTATTTAAATTTGTACGATTTATCTTTTTTATTCTTTAAGTTTCCTTTTGTAGGTCTAAGATTTTAATTTGCCGCCATTGTTGTATCGACGGCATATCTTTTTTTATATGTTGGTCGACATGTTATATATATACATGTCGTCTACGTTTATATAATTTTCTTAAATGTCAAGTTCTGATCTTCTTAAAACTTTTATGATTTTATTGTGTTATTTCTTTGGATACCTAACATACTGTATTTTGCGGTAGTTTCTGTTGTTAATTATACAGGGTGCTCGGAATTGTATTCCGGATACTTCGGCAGCATATTCTGCAATAAAAATAAGCAAAAAAGTTCGTATAAATGTATGTCTTAAAATGCTTAGTTTCTGAGATACAGGGTGTGTAGAAGTTTCATTTTTATTTAATTTTTTTAAATAATTTCTCAAGCAACGGCAATATTTTGATGAAAAATTGGTGTCTGGGGGTTTTTTTTGACACGGGAAATTTGATTTTGATGTCAATATGACTTCTATTTGTAGGGGGGCGCCACCTACATGTGTTTTAACTATTTTGAAGAGTAATAACTTTTCGTCCCGTACCTATATAAAGCTACTGAATTTGGGCTGACCAAAAAAAACTTTTTTAAATTAATCATAATTTTTCAAAAAAAATGATGATAAAAACACTTTTTGTTGAACTTTTGACACAAATACATTTCAAATTTATGATTTCAGTCTAATAACTATTTAGTCAACAGGTTTAATTTATGTCAATGATGATAATTTCTCGATTTTAAATATCTCGAGAACCATGACTCGTAGCGTTTTTACCAAGAAACCTTTTTACGTAAAAACGTCGCAAATGTATATTTTTTTTCTCAATAGTTTTATACAGGTACGGACGAAAAGTTATTATTCTTCAATCCAGAAGTTAAAAATATGTAGGTGACGCCTTTTTCATGTAGGAGTCATATTAACATTAAAGTCCCAAATTTCTCATATCAAAAACTCCCAGACACTAATTTTCATCTATATATTGACGTTTCTTCAGAAATTATTTGGAAGAAATCGAAATAAAATGAAACTTCTACACCCTGTATTTCCTAAACCTAAGCATTTTAGGACATACATTTATACGAACTTTTTTACTTATTTTTATAATACAGTCGGACCACCCTGTATAATTGAAAGATTTTATTTTATTTCTCTTGGCTGTTCTGATGTCTGATTGTCTCCTAGTTTTGTAGACACGAAGCTGCACGGAATAACTTTTTTGGTTGCTTTGGTTTCAACCTTTTGCTTCGTGATTCTTTAGTCTTTTTATCGTAATTTATGGATAGAAAGTTACAGAAAGAAAGAAAAGAAAGAACAAAAAAAGGAAAAAAAAAAAAAAAAATAAAAAAAGAAAAAATAAAAAGAACAAAAAATGAAAGAAAAAGCAGAAAGCTAGAGATGCTAGAAAAATAGCATGACGCGCGGACCAAGACTGGTCTCGCTCATCACTAATCAAACTGCAAAAATATCAACATAAAATAGCTATATTGAAGGTTCTTTTGAATAACTATTTATTGTATTACCTATTTCCAAAATCTTTCATAAAAATATTACTTAGTAAAATGAGAGAGAGGTGATCCCATCGCTATACTCAAATCTTGTTGATTCTTTTTAGACTTTCCTTCACAATTGGTTGATATTCTCCACGCGTCTCATATTTTTTTTCAACGTATTCGACAATGATCTAACTAGCACAAGCAATTACTACAATTTTATACATTTATGTCCGAGCAGCAGCAATAAAACCGAAATCCTTGATCTAAATTAATAAAATTAAAACAATAGATTTTTATGTTTCATTGTAGAAAACGCTCGGTCGAATGGATGGATATTCATAAAATTAAAATTTTTCGAATTTACATACCTCCCGAACAAATAAAACGAACAAACAGTAAAGAATTCGTAATCGTTACGTTTTGGAGATGAAGAGATTACGTTGCCTTAATTGTTTATTGTTCTAGATTCGAAAATATATATCTGCGCAATAATTTATTATGTTAATTATTTGAAGGAGGCGGGGCTAAGCGAAGAGGGGAATATAGAGGGGGGTTTAAACTGTTTTATACCGGGTGCGTCTAAAAAGTGGCTCATAATATTTTTATTTTTTCAGATAAAAATCGAGATTCTGTATGTTAGTATATAGCACAAATTAGGATTGATTGACGTATTCAGTTGTTTTCGGCCACATTCTGTTTCACCGGTTTCACCCGACAAACGACGCGCGACGCGACATGATACGAGGTTTTTATATACCGGGTTCGTCTCAAAGGTGGCTCACCCCCGATGGGTGTCTCACTATTGGAATTACATGTCCATTTTCTTGGCAGTCGCTGGCAGTCAAAAACGAGATTTGGTTAGTTAGTATATGACATAAAATAGGATTGATTGACGTATTAATTGTTTTCGGTCACTTCCTGTTTCACCGGAAATGACTACAACTTTTGATTTTTAAATAGCACCCTCAATATTTTATTCGATAGAAAATGGCACTCTGAATGGAATGACATATCATATGTCAATTTTTGACATTTACTGGTTGACATTTTTTTTGACATATATTTAGAGACATATCATAATGTCAGCTTTTGACATTTTCTGGTTGACGTTTTATGGTTTATTTTACATTCCAACATCCATTCATAACGACAATTTGACTCGAAATACTACACGAAAGTGTGTGGTGCCAAATTACTCGTAAAAAATGCTTTTTTCACATATGCTAATAATTTTTTCAAATATGCTAAATAATGCTTATTTTTTTACTTTATTCAATAGAAAATGACACTCTGAATAGAATGACATATCATATGTCAACTTTTGACATTTTCTCATATCGTTTATTTGAAATTGTAACATGCACATACGTTTTTGTAACAATTTTGTACAATTGTAACATGCACACGTTTATTTGAAATTGTAACATGTTCATACCGACAATTTGACTCGAAATACCAAGTGAGTGGTACCAAAAATTCGTAATAAAATGCTTTTTCTAAATATGCTAATGAGCCACCTTCATTCCATTTGAAAAAATTGAGATATGATTAAAAATACGATTTGGGCATCTTTTAATCGGCCAGAGGACAAGACACGAAAAACATTAGACGATCAAAACTATTTTTACAAGGCTCCTTGATTAAAAACTAGTGTTTTTAACACAGCCATGGATTGAAATTTAAAATACAATTTTGTTTTAAGCGGCAACGTCAAAAGCTGACATATGATATGTCATTCTGTTCAGAGTGTAATTTTCTATCGAATAAAGTAAAAAATACCGAAGGTGCCATTTAAAAATCCGAAGTTGTAGTCATTTCCGGTAAAACAGGAAGTGACCGAAAAAAATTGAATACGTTAATCAATCCTAATTTATGTCATATACTAACATACCAAATCTCGTTTTTTTATCTGAAAAAATAAAAAAGTTACAGGGGGTGAGGCACTTTTGAGACGTACCCGGTATATGTAAGATGTTTTATAGTTGACAGTGGAAAATATACACTGATTTTATTAGTAAATATTCTACACTTATTCATCTGTAACTGTTTTAATAATTATTCACGAACATTTATCAGCAGTTAAATACGTGGTATACTGACGCTTCTAGGAACTATGGAAAACAAGAAATAGTCAGGCAGCATTAAGAGCGATGAACTCAACCATCATTTCAAAGTTGGTCAATGAATGACTAGAGAAGCTGAGCAAATTAGACAAAGAAAATCCTAAAAAAGTCCTACTAGAAGATAGAAGGTGATGAAAAATCAAAGGATCTAGCTAGAAAGACAACATTCCACTAACTGGATCAGAACCGTACTACCTCCCAGCTGGAAATCAACTTAAAGCAGAACCTTCATGGAATGGGAATACTCCAACCGTCTAAGAGTCTCGGAGAAATTTATCAGGACTTATCTACAACCGAGAGAAAAATTAAAGCTTTTCTTTGATTTAAGTAAAATCTTCGGATTGTCTCGGTGTTTTTAACAGGACCCTGCCTCCTCAGTGAATCTCTAAGTAGATTGAAGCTAAGAAAGAACGGTAAATGCACTAGATTCACCAACTGGAAAATGGGGAAACACCAAAACACCTGTATCACAGAGTGCCGAGACGACAACCATTCGACAACAACTTTGGCACATTGATATCCGAGACGGAGAACTAACCTCTAAAACCGTCTCAGATAGAGGCTTTTGTCAAAGCCCTGAGACTGTATGATAATTATAACTCAAGAAAGGGGACACAACAGATCTAACTCCCCCCACTCCCATATAATCTACAAACCTACAAATCTACAATAGCCTTTAGATAAGTCTTATATGTGTATAGGATCTATAATATTTTAGTTTATATTTCGCAGTATAAGTATTATTTAAAAATTGATGTTTATATCGAAATACTTAGTATAAAACTACTTTACTCACTTGGTTTCTATGGTCGGCCATTTTGTCGTGCGCGGATCGAGGCAAATATATAGAACGTATCCCGTTAAACAATATTCAGATGACTGAGCTCTGATAAGCGATAATTATTAATATTAAAACAAATCTCTATCTCAGGTAAAAGATATTGTCGATAAATTTAATAAGACTTAATACATATATTGTAATGCAAACAAAATCCACGATAAATGGCTGATAATGTAAAAATATCATGGCGAATGGTAAACAGTGTTTACGAGAGATAAAATTACCGTTAACTGTTTTCAGTTATATTCTATCCAACATTATTTACTAAGTCTGATTAATACTGTCGTCAAACATTGAAATATTACAGTTTGTAAAAGGAAAATGCCCAGCATTTTTAATGATTTATCTCTATGGTGAGTCGATAGTATTTCCCAGGCCTTTTGTGTTTGTCCCCTTTATATTTCTGCATCTCAACGTCCTGCAGCATGCTGCACCAACTTTAATATATTATGCTCTAATTGAGCCGATTTTGATAGTTTTTTAAGCAATATGTAGCTACAGTACTGACATTTAGTATTTCTTTCTAAATTAAGTTTCCACACTCTGTGGTGCCAGGAAAAGCAAATATTTGGTGAGACACCCTGTAGAATGATAGAGTCAGGAAAGAATTTTAAAATCATTTTTATCATTAAATTGTCTTTTCTCGATAGTTTGTTTTGGTTCCTTCATAGATTTATTTTTTGTTGGAGATGTTCGCGTTTGAAGAAGACATTAACATTTTTCCGTAATTTTGCATTAAAATTGTCAAATGTAAGGTACGGAAATGTTGGTGTCTTCACTTGAGACGCCCGAACAAAAACGGAAATTATCAGAAAGATCTATAGATATTAGGGGTGTTCAAAACTATGGGGTTACACCAATAACAACATTTTGTGTTCCCTCGTATAATTGACCGATGGGAACTTTCATTTTTAATTTAGAAATAGATGCTAAAATGTCAAATAATTTAGCTACAAATTGCCAGATCATCAAAATCTGTCCACTGGAACACAATATACCGGGTGCATCTCAAAAGTGGCTTACCCCCTATATCTTTTTTATTTTTTCAGATAAAACTACAAGATTTGGTAGTATATGACATAAATTAGGATTGATTGACGTATTCATCTGTTTTCAGTCACTTCCTGTTTTACCGGAAATGACTACAAATATGGATTTTTAAATGGCACTCGGTATTTTTTTACTATATTCGATAGAAAATGACGCTCTGAATAGAATGACGTATCATATGTCAACTTTGACATTTTCGCATATGGTTTATTTTAAATTATACCATGCGGTTCATAACGACAATTTGACTCGAAATACCAAAAAAAAACTAAAAAAAAAAAATATTCGTAAAAATACTTTTTCCAAATAACTAATGAGCCACCCTCGTTCCATTTGAAATTGAGATATAGATTAAAAATACGTTTGGGAATTTTGGTCGACCAGGACAAGACACTAAAACATTAGACGATCAAATCTATTTTCCAAGGTTCCATGGAGATTAAAGTTAGTGTTTTTACACATATGGCACTCTAGATTAAAAAATTTAAAAAAAAAATATGTCAAAAGTTGACTATGGTATGTCATTCGATTCAGAATGTCATTTCTATCGAATAAAGTAAAAAATACCGTGGGTGCCATTTAAAAATCAAAAGTTGTATTATTTCAGGTGAAACAGGGAAATGACCGAGAAACAATTGAATACGTCAATCAATCTAATTTATGTCATATACTAACATGCAAATTTCGTTTTTTATCTGAAAAAATAAAAAAGAGATTATAAGTGAGCCACTTTCGAGCACCACAGTATAACTTTAAAATACATCAACATTTTAAGGTGCCCGTTTTATATTGTCTTCCTCAGGCCCAGGACAGGATTAAAAAATAAATCAACACATCTTTTTCCTATGTTTATATATTTTAAGTTTTTTTTTTTTTTTTATTTTTTACAAAAAAATAACTATTTTATTTTGTAGATTTATTTTCCAGTGTCTAAAAGAACCCAGACTTTTTTCATAATATAATAATATACAGTATTTACAAGAATTTACATTTACAAAAATAAATCAAAACCAACTAAGAATGTATTTACAATTTTAATATCTATGTAGAATGTTTAAAATTAGGTTTTATTACAAATATTGAGTTAAACGAGTTGGTATTTAAAGCAAAGTAAGTGTTGGTACATAAAGCGCGCATTTATCTTGATATCGTAAATCATCAAATATTGAAAAATTTTATCAAAGAGATAAGACAGAAACGAGTAATGCGCACGCTAGATAAAACATGGCGCCTGCCGAGTAATGCCCTTATTGGTTTATTGGCGTATATATCTCGCATTGCGTAAATAAGGTGGCTTTACATTTATTGCCTGACGTTTGAAATCATTTTGTAAGACACAAACAAACATATTTTACTGATAATGATATCTGCCTTTCCACACCTCTTGATATTAACACGACCAATCACATCGATTTATCGTTTTGTAGATTTCTTACTAGCGAATCTGGTCACGTTTCAATAAAATTGAATTTTTATTTATCTAATAATTATAAACAGAAGTTTCACGTCTGATGCGGTAGGTATATATTTATACTTGGTTTTATTGTGTATACCAGTGATTTACAGTTGGGGTTGGAACCTTTGTTTGACAACAACAGAAAAATAAAACACTTATTTACGAGCTAATTGACAAAATACACCAAAACTTTACTTATCATCAAAACAGTTTTGGGGCTTTGACAAAACCAATATCTGAGACAGTTTTACAGTTTCTTTTCTCCGTCTTCGATATCAGTCGTACCAAAGTTTTTGGCGACTATCCACCATCTTTATTGACAAAACATTAACCGAAATACAAATCCCACAAATCATAGACAGAATACACACAATGATAACAATACACGGGTATATACAACAATTGTTCTCATAAATATCTGGAATAATTCAAAATGTCAAGGAAAAACTCTCTTAAGTCAAAGAAACTTGTTCTCTTGAAAAATTCAGAAAATTTCTGCGAGTCCTATTTTAATTCCAATAAGTGCAAGTTACTGTTTTAAGATAATAGCAAAAATACGCTAGGGAGTACTTCATTCAAGAAACATGATCATTTTTTCAATAGCTAAATACTCTTTTGATGAGAAAATAATAACTTGACACGCAAAGACGATGACGAGGACGGTATATACAATCTGTCGGCAGTTCGATCAGTCTCACGTCGCATTTCATAGGTCGTACATCATAGTACGCACAGGTTTTGTTGCTTGGGATTTTCCACTTGGAATTTTTGCATAATTTGCTTTTAAATGCATATCGTATAACAAATAAAATTGTTGATCGCCTTAACATGCCATTTGTCATTTTTATGGACAAATTTTGGGATATATAAGTTCTTTTTCTGAAAAAAATGGAATTAGAGCATTTATTTGCTATATTTGAAATAAGGAGACATTTACCTAATGCACCTGTATAGATAATGCATGCGTGACTATAGCTAGAATAAGAATATAGGTATCGATTTTTTATGCAAATAATTACAAAAATTTTAGAATTTCAAAGTCGTCGTATTAAAAAAATTCAAAATGTGACCAAAGCTTATGGTTTTAATGAATTTGTTTGCTTATTTTGATTAATCGTGATGATGTAACATTTTTTGTATTTGTATGGTGATGAACCACCCAAAAATGCAAGGGAGTGGAAGGAAGCGAAATAGCTACTATCCAGGGAAAATAATATCCACTTTACTTGCACTACAGACCAGGAGAAAACCTAAATTTATCAGAAAATAATATATCTCGTAATATGCTTGTATATGATGTATATAGACTTCTCTTAGATCAAAATAAATTTTTAGTTGAGTCAAAATAGTATTCGCTATTGGTTTTAAAAGTGTCTCTTTAATCAAGAAATGTCCCTTTTCAATCAAAATTTTTGCATAAATCAAAGGACTATTGTTCTTGTAGCGAGAACTTCTTTGCATATTAATTTTGGGTCAAAATTTAAATGCACTTTGGACAGATAGATTCTTCTATTCTCTAAAGAAATTTTTAAAACATGAAAGATAGTTAATTCTTTGGGTAAAGAAACGTCGTTCTTAGCCCTATTGAAAAGCACCAATCTTTTAGGTCAAAGTCATATTCATATCGACCCAGAGATCCCCTTTTTTTTCCAGTGCCTTTAGAACACAAAATACACCTAGATCCATTTTAAATCCACACTAAACCAATGAACACTGGACAACAAACAAAAATGTAATATACAATTACCATGTAGATGAAGTAAAATTTATATTGGTGAAACATCTAGACCCTTAAATGTTCAGATTAAAAAGGGTATAAAGATTATTTAAGAAGGGAAGATTTTCACAAATCTAAGATTTGTCAGCATTCATGGGACACAGAGACAGAGTTGATTTTAACAAGGTACAAATTAAAAGAAGAAACGATAGCCTCTAAAAGAAAAATAAAAAAAAAAAGTGTTTTTAATACAATCTAATAAAAATAGGAATTATTGCTCATGCATCTGTAGTGGTTAGTAATGTATGGCAATCGCTTCTTTGATTTTAAAGAATAAAACATAACCATAACAAAAGCAAAATTAAAACAAATTAAAATAATCATACAGAAAGTTTGAAGCTTTGGTTTTATTATTAAAGTAATTGTTATCAGGTAAAAATAAAATGTTAAAAAAAAAAAAAAAAAAACATTAATTAAAATTAATTAGTATATCCAAAACATACATATATATTTTAAATCGGTAAGAAAATTCCGCTCGCAGGCTAAAACACAACAATTCTTGAATTACCATTTTAATTAATACTAAAATTAATTTCGAATTCATTTTAGAGTATAATAATATTCCTTTTCAAGTATCAAAATACATTCCCATACGTTTTAACATGTGTGTTCCTATTTACATTGTTTATTTTAATTTAGTTAGTTTGTTGTTGTTTTTATTTTGTTTTATTTATTTTTTATTTATTTAATATTTTATATGTTTTTGGGTTACATATTG